ACGGACCCGGAAATGATGGCTATGCTTTCCCGGGCCACCGAGAGTGTCAGGCTCGAGTGGAATCTTCCACCGTGTCCCGAACCCTCAAGGTTGGACGATTGGTTTCTCGGAGTGGCGCGCGCTGGTTCTCAGGGCCCCACCCCAGTGCCTTTCTTCCCGGAGGTGCATGATGAGATCGCTGGGTCATGGACAGCACCTTCACTGCCAGAAACCGGGCCAGTGGCTCATCCTCCCTCACCACCCTCGATGGGGGTTCAGCGCGGCGGTACGCGGGAGTTCCCCAGGTGGAGCGGTCGGTTGCGATGCAATTGTGTCCAAATGCCGCTACCACTTGGCGGGGCAAACCGCTGCTCCCCTCCCGGGGCTGTAGGCACTCGTCGGCCTTGATCGACACTGCTTATATGGCCTGTGGAGAAGCTGCGTCCGCCTTACATGCTTCGGCGTTACTGCAAGTGCACCAGGCCAAGGCACTGAGGGACTTGCACGAGGGCGGTCACGACCCGGAAGTTCTCAAAGAACTCCGCACCATGACAGACCTCATGCTACGAGTGACAAAGGTTACGGCGTGGTCTCTGGGTCGTGCGATGTCCACTATGGTGGTACAGGAGTGCCATCTCTGGCTGTGTCTGGCCGACATGCGCGAGACGGACAAGACAAGATTCTTGAACGCCCCCGTGTCCCAGACCGGCCTTTTCGCTGACACGGTGGAGAACTTCGCCCAGCAGTTCTCCGCTGCCCAAGAGCAGACTGAGGCCATCAGGTACATCCTGCCCCCCGGTGTGCAGCTGCTGCCTCCACCCGGCTGCCGGTGGTAGCGCCTCAGCCCGCTCGTCGCCGAGGGTGGCCCCCAGCCCCGCTCTCGCACAGCGTTCGCAGCAGCCTCCAGCAAAACTGCGCCGAGGAGCCGGCCGCAGGGCAGCCGCCCCGCCTGTCCAGGCCCCCACCAGACCTGGTGGTAAGCGAAGGTGGCCAGTGGTACCCAAATTCTCAACAAAAGAGCAATTTCTTCTTTCTCTGGGTCCCATGAGGGGACGGGGGGTTGTGGACGATCCAGAGCCATATCACACTCACCCTCCTCTCTCGCCAGTGAGCAGCAGCGGGCGGATCGGGAAGACGAACCAACGGACTACCCACGCACCCTCTGCTCAAACGCAGGTCAGTGTTACACACACCCAGACCCCGCCTCGGATCGGCAAAGAGATGCCTGGGCCAGGTCCCTGCGTTCTTCCGCGCTGCCCCACTGCGGGTACGCCTGTAGTTCCATTGATGCCACTTGCACAGTGTCTGGGAGCCTGGCTAGAGCTACCAAGCCCGTCTCGATGGCTCCGTCGAACTGTCAGGCTCAGCTATGCGACCGATCCTTCCGCGCCACAGGCCATTCCTGCAGTTTGCGTTCGAGGGGCGGGCATACCAGTACAAGGTCCTGCCCTTCAGCCTGTCCCTGTCGCCCCATGTCTTTACGAAAGTTACGGAAACAGCCCTTGTTCCCATGAGAGAACAGGGCATTCGCATTCTCAACTACCTCGACGATTGGCTCATACTCGCTCAGTCTCAGGATCAGTTGTGCGTGCACAGGGATTTGGTGCTTTCACACCTCAGCCTGTTGGGCCTTCGGGTCAACTGGGAAAAGAGCAAACTCTCCCCGATGCAGAGAATCTCTTTTCTCGGTATGGAGTTGGACTCGCACGTCTCACGCAGGAACGTGCTCAGTCGGTGTTGAACTGCTTGAATACATTCAAGAGCAGGACGGCGGTCCCACTGAAACGTTTCAGAGACTCCTGGGGCATATGGCAGCCACGGTGGCAGTCACGCCGCTGGGGCTGCTCCATATGAGACCGCTGCAGCACTGGCTCCATGGCCGAGTCCCGAGGTGGGCGTGGCAACGCGGCACCTTCCGGGTCCAAGTGACACCGGCCTGCTGCCAAACCTTCACCCCGTGGTCAGACCTTGCATTCCTCTGGGCAGGAGTGCCCCTGGAGCAGGTCTCCAGGTATGCTGTGGTTTGCACGGATGCCTCAACCACTGGCTGGGGGGCCACGTACAACGGGCTTGCAGTGTCAGGGGTTTGGAAGGGGCCCCAACTGCACTGGCTCATCAACTGCCTCGAGTTGCTGGCAGTGCACCTTGCCCTGGGCCATCTCAAAGGGCGCTTACGAGGCAAGCATGCCATCACCCTGGCTTATCAGGCACAGGGTGTGCCCTGCCCGTTCAGGTTGCGAGCTCACTCAACTAGAGGTGTTGCATCCTCCTGGGCGCTGGCTCGTGGCACCTCGCTGGAGGATATTTGTAGAGCTGCGGGCTGGGCAACCCCTAACACATTTGCTAGATTCTATAGCCTTCATGTGGAGCCGGTATCCTCCTGTGTTCTCACCTCAAACGGGTAGAAGCACTGAGAGGCACCGGCTTCGGGTCGGCTTGCAAAAACCACTCCAGAGAGTCCATATATTAGACCCCGTTGAGCTCCTCCATTCCCTTGGCAGCCAGACGTGGCGGAGCGTCCGGCGCCAGGCCTTCACTCATTGAATCCTCGAGAACCATTAGAAGGCTGGGTTCCATATGTAAGACCTAAGTGGATCTCATATGTGTAAAGTCCACGGTATAGCCTTGAGCCCGTGTTTCCCCGGCAGACTTCTGCCATTCCAAGAGGGTTCAATCACCTCCATTCTTCCATATGCACCTAAGGGATGTCCATATGTGTACTGCTTCTGAAACCTACTTCGGGAAGGTTGGAGCTTCCGTAACGTCCCTGTTCCAAGTAAAACGGGTACGTTTTCCCAGTGTTATCCAGTCTTACTCAGTGGGTAGTGCAATAGTAGCAGTAGCTGGTCCTCTTGTGCAGGCCCTGGTCTACGCCAAAAAGTAGGGGCGCAGGTGGCTTCCACAGGACCCTGGAAGGGGCAGTAGCTGTGGCCTTTTAGGATCCCAATTCGTCGGTCTCTGTTCCCTCCCTCAGGGAACGAAGGTTACATACGTAACCGAGACGTTCCCTTTCAGTTGGTCACTCTCGACGTCACGTCCCATCGCCACAGCTCTTGTACCACCGCTGAGCGGCCGGGTCACCGGCTCGGCTCCTCAGCAAAAACCTGAATATACGCTGCATCTGCTGCCTACTTATACTCACGCTGTGATCAGCAGCAGCTGGATGCAATAATCGCATGCCAATGTGCATTGGCTCGTTTAGTTTATACTCGAAGTAGATTGGTCCCTCTAAGCGAGATCCCAATTCGGGGATTCAATTATTTCTGATTTAGTTTTTATTAATTTACAGTTACAATTTTAGCACTGCAGCCTATTTTATTTTAATTGTTTTAGTTTAGGTTTTTCATCTGATATTTATATTTTATTTTATTTATAATAATAATACCTAACCCTATCCTGGTGATTAAATATTGCATAATAAGTGTCAAATTTATTTAAAAATCGTTTACATATGCACTGTAATAAGATCCCTGAAAAGATGGAGGATGATGCTAGACAAATCTTGACTATAAATTTCAATTGATAAGCATAATTAGAAATGGATTCTCTTTCTGTATGCTGCTGAATATTTTGATGCTTATTAGAGAATCAGACTGAGAATCAAAGTGAAATGTTTGTCAGTGTTTAGAGTGTGTTAAGGAAGCACAGGTGATGATTTGAGATGCAGCCGCTCACCTTTAGCCGTCCTGTACTGCACAGGCTCCGACAGCGGCCCCACTCCTTTGGCGTTTTTGGCCTGGATGCGGAAGAAGTAGACGGTGTCCAGGTTGAGGTCCATGACCTGGTGCGTGAGCCGGTCTCCGCCGATGGGCTCCATCACCCAGTCGTCGATGGGCATGTTCTTGTCCAGCGTGTAGTACAGGATATAACCTGACGCAGACGAGAAGGGTTAAACGGGTTAGTGCGGCACTGACTCAGAGGTCAAAGGTCGAGCCTCTGGTGAGTGAGAATGTGAGTGTGTGTGCCACACACACACACACACACACACACACACACACAGATGAAGGTCAAGAGAAGCATCACATTTGTGCTGAGAAACATGAAACGTCCGTGTGTGACAATGAGTGTGTTTTAATCACTTAAATTAAGAGTCTGTTATGATTTTCTGACCCTCACAGTATCATGACTTTTTATATCCCATATGGCAAATAAATAAATAAATATACAAAAAAAAGCCAAATATATTTGCTACAGAAATATATTTTCTAACAATATATATATATATAGATTTTATAAAAATAAAACATGTATTTATTTAAATAAATATTATTATTATATATTAATATTTTTAAATATATAAAAAGCATGTAAAAGTATATGTTGCCGTCCATATATTTTAATTCAAGAAAATACAGTCCCCTATGTCACATTTGAAGAAAAACCTTAGGTAACACTTTACTTGAAGCCTTTATACATAATGCATTATAAATTGCATTAATTATGTGTGTAATGCACCTTATAATGATCTTATGAATATCCATCATTATAATACTTCATATAAATTTTTACAACAACCTATAACTTAATTATTTTATATGTAATTATGTTTACGTTTTTCATTTAATATTTATTTTTTATTTCAGCTTTGCTTCAATTAACAAAAAAATATTTTATATATTTTAATATAGTTGTCATTTTAGTTAAGAATAACAACACTGGGAAACACTTTCCTTGGAGCCTTTATATATAATGCATTATTAAAGTATGTATTTTACTTATAATGATCTCATGAATAATTGTAAACACAGTTACAGTACATTATAACACATTATTGCACCTTTAGAAAGTATAATGCATTAAAACATTATCCTAAATGTAGGCTAATGATTGTAAAAGTATTTTCTTGCCCATGAAATACATTTAGAAATATATTTTGGTATATGAAGGTTAAAACTAAATATATTTTTAATTTTTAAAATATATTTCATAGAGCTTCACTGTTTACAACACATATTTAGCTAAATATTTTGGGACAGAAAAAAAATCTATATTTTTGCCGCATGGGATAATTTGTGTCTTGATCATGGTTTTACTGATTATTATTATTTGGATGGACAAACAATACCGTCTCAGGCTGAATTATGATGCTGTCGTGTCATGTTTTTTTGGGTGTCACCTGTGATTCGTCCGTTGGCCTCCAGCGGCGGCTGCCAGCTAATCAGAATGGCTCGTGGACGTCCCTCTCGGCCAATCACAGTAAGGTCCTTAGGGGCGGAACTCGGCGCTGACCAATGGGAAAAGAGAAAGCATTTATGCTGCATTCTGCTCATGTCGGATATGAGACTTCACATTTGATACCTGTGACTTTATTATCCATCTCTCAGAGATGACAAGCAGTTCTTTAATTCCAGCACAACACAGAAACTAATTAAACGGCTTCATTAACCCCGAGGCCTCCCATGATCGTGAGGTTTCATGTCTTCACAACAGTTAGTTTAGACAGTGATAAAAGCATCTATTTCTGGACTAAAGATGCTTTTATACACACTGTTTTTCTACATGTACAGGAAGGTGGATGATAGCCATCATAAACCATAGGATAAGGCATTTTATCAAGTTATTATATTCCCAAAATGAGTAATTATATTCCCAAACTGAGTAATTATATTCCCAACCTGAGTAATTATACTCTCAAACTGAGTAATTATATTCCCAAACTGAGTAATTATATTCCCAAAATGAGTAATTATATTCCCAAACTGAGTAATTATATTCCCAACCTGAGTAATTATATTCCCAACCTGTGTAAATACATTCCCAAACTGAGTAATTATATTCCCAAACTGAGTAATTATATTCCCAAACTGAGTAATTATATTCCCAAAATGAGTAATTATATTCCCAAACTGAGTAATTATATTCCCAAACCAGTGTAAATACATTCCCGAACGGAGTAATTATATTTACAAACTGAGTAATTACATTCTCAAACTGAGTAATTACATTCTCAAACTGAGTAATTATATTCCCAACCTGAGTAAATATATTTCCGAACTGAGTAATTATATTCCCGAACTGAGTAATTATACTCCCAAACGGAGTAATTATATTCAAACTGAGTAATTATATTCCCAACCTGAGTAAATATATTTCCGAACTGAGTAATTATATTCCCGAACTGAGTAATTATACTCCCAAACGGAGTAATTATATTCAAACTGAGTAATTATATTCCCAACCTGAGTAAATATATTTCCGAACTGAGTAATTATATTCCCGAACTGAGTAATTATACTCCCAAACGGAGTAATTATATTCAAACTGAGTAATTATATTCCCAACCTGAGTAAATATATTTCCGAACTGAGTAATTATATTCCCGAACTGAGTAATTATACTCCCAAACGGAGTAATTATATTCAAACTGAGTAATTATATTCCCAAAATGAGTACTTATATTCCCAATATGAGTAATTACATTCCCAAACTGAGTAATTATATTCCCAAATGAAGCAATTCCCAAACTGAGTAATTATACTCCCAAATGGAGTAATTATACTCTCAAACTGAGTAATTACATGCTAGAACAGAGTAATTATGTTCCCAACCTTAGTAAATATATTCCCAAACGGAGCAATTCCCAAACTGAGTAATTATATTCCCGAACTGAGAAATTATTCTCCCAAACGGAGCAATCATATTCCCAAAATGAGTAATTATATCCCAAACTGAGTAATCCGATTGCCAAAATGAGTAATTATATTTCCAAACGGAGTAATTATATTCCCAACCTGAGTAATTATACTCTCAAACTGAGTAATTACATGCTCAAACAGAGAAATTATTCTCCCAAACGGAGCAATCATATTCCCAAAATGAGTAATTATATCCCAAACTGAGTAATCCGATTGCCAAAATGAATAATTATATTTCCAAACGGAGTAATTATATTCCCAACCTCAGTAAATATATTCCCAAACTGAGTAATTATATTCCCAAACTGAGTAATTATGTTCCCAACCTGAGTAATTATATTCCCAAACTGAGTAATTATATTCCCAAACTGAGTAATTATATTCCCAACCTGAGTAATTATTCTCTCAAACTGAGTAATTATACTCCCAAACGGAGTAATTATATTCAAACTGAGTAATTATATTCCCAAAATGAGTAATTATATTCCCAAAATGAGTACTTATATTCCCAATCTGAGTAATTACATTCCCAAACTGAGTAATTATATTCCCAAATGAAGCAATTCCCAAACTGAGTAATTATACTCCAAATGGAGTAATTATACTCTCAAACTGAGTAATTACATGCTCAAACAGAGTAATTATGTTCCCAACCTTAGTAAATATATTCCCAAACGGAGCAATTCCCAAACTGAGTAATTATATTCCCGAACTGAGAAATTATTCTCCCAAACGGAGCAATCATATTCCCAAACTGAGTAATTATTTTCCCAAACTGAGTAATTATTTTCCCAAACTGAGTAATTATTTTCCCAAACTGAGTAATTATTTTCCCAAACTGAGTAATTATATTCCCAAAATGAGTAATTATATCCCAAACTGAGTAATCCGATTGCCAAAATGAGTAATTATATTCCCAACCTGAGTAATTATATTTCCAACCTGAGTAATTATATTCCCAACCGGAGTAATTATACTCTCAAACTGAGTAATTACATGCTCAAACAGAGAAATTATTCTCCCAAACGGAGCAATTATATTCCCGAACTGAGTAATTATACTCAAACCGAGTAATTATACTCCCAAACTGAGTAATTATGTTCCCAAAATGAGTAAATATATTCCCAAACTGAGTAATTATATTCCCAAAATGAGTAAATATATTCCCAAACTGAGTAATTATATTCCCAAACTGAGTAATTATATTCCCAACCTCAGTAAATATATTCCCAAACTGAGTAATTATGTTCCCAACCTGAGTAAATATATTCCCAAACTGAGTAATTATATTCATAAATAGTAATTATATTCCCAACCTGAGTAATTATATTTCCAAACTGAGTAATTATATTCCTGAAGTGAGTAATTATACTCTCAAACAGAGAAATGATTCTCCCAAATGGAGCAATTATATTCCCGAACTGAGTAATTATATTCCTGAAGTGAGTAATTATACTCAAACCGAGTATTTATACTCCCAAACTGAGTAATTATATTCCCAACCTGTGTAAATACATTCCCAAACTGAGTAATTATATTCCCAACCTGTGTAAATACATTCCCAACCTGAGTAATTATATTCCCGAAATGAGTAATTATATTCCTAAACTGAGAAATTCCCAAACTAAGTAATTATATTCATTATACACTATGCACTTGGATGGGTGAAATGCAGAGCACACATTCCGAGTATGGGACACCCCACTTGGCCACACGTCACTTTCACTTTCACATATTTATGATTTAGATCATCATTATTAGCATTTCCTCAACCCCAGTTTGGGAAACTCTGGACTACTGTATCTATACATACCATAATAGTTATTGAAATTTCAATGAAAAACACTTTACAAATGTTGATTGCAAGCATTGATTGCATTTGACTATTTTCTCTTTTTCTTTGGATCTTGATGGACTCAGATCACATCATCAGGTGGACATATCTGCTATATAGCGCAGTATAAACAGTGTTTTATAACACAAGAAGGACAGAATGGCTGTGTGTGTTTGTACCTGCTTCGTATGTGGTGGCGTGTGCCGTCATACTCCACGTGCTGGACTTGCGTCCTTTAGTCACCATGACGGAGAACTCGTACATGGTGTTGGGCTTCAGACCCGTGACGGTGTGACTGAGAGCTGTAGTATCAGCCGACTGAAACACAATCACACGTCATGAGGAGTAAAGAACTCGAGCACACAAACTCTCAATGATCACAGCACGGTGATTACTTTACATTCACAGTTATTTATCACTCTCCAGATTTCACAGCTCTTCAACAGACTCATCAGAACAGAGAAACATGAACTACTATATAAACCTGAGGCTGGTCGACTCAAGAACAAGATGATTCTTTACAACGTCACATTTTCAAATGACTTCAGTTGCACCCGAGCTGTTGTCCTTAACTAAAACTAAACCCATAAACAATTGAAATAAAATATTCAACAAATTTAATATTTTTAAAGATAAAAATAAACATTACCCGACATAACATTTCTGATACAACGTTTCTCATTTTCATTTAGTTGAAGTACTAAAACAACTAACACTACATAAATTTTATAAAAATTATTTACTTAAAAAAAAACTAATAAAAATGACAAAAAAAACGCAACCAAATTACTATAAATTTAACTAAACTTAAAATGAAACGAGAAAACATAAAAATAACATTTATTTCAATATATTAACAAAAACTATTAATAATTCCAGGGTTGCCAGGGTCATCATAAATTAAAAAAAAAATCATTACTTGAAATACAATAAACATTAACTGAAATAAAATATAACACCTTAAATTTATTTTATTTTAGTTTCAACATTTCTTATTTTTGTTTAGAGTGTGCTTTATATAAAAAACACAACAAAGAAAAAATGAATAAAAATGACAAAAACACACAACAAAATGACTAAAATTAAGATAAAAACAGAAAATATAAATGAAATATAATTCAAAATATTAGCAAAACTATAACTGTGTATCAATTACACTAAAATAACTATATAGAGATATTAAGAAAACCCAAACTAATAAAAATGACAAAGAAAACGAGTAAATCTAAAATTAAAACCGAAAATATAAAAAATAATATGTGTTAACAAAACTTTAATAGTACAAAAATGATAAAGACTAAAAAAAATAAATAAAGACTAATAAAAATGACAGAACACTAACTAAAATTTTTATGAAATCAGAAAATATGAAAAAAATAAAATAGAATTCAAAATATTAAGAAAAACTACACCAGTATATCAATGATACTAAAATAACACTTCTTGCATCTGTATGTCGAGCGTCAAGCATATTCACACAAATAAGCACTTTGAAGTCTGATCTGATTCACAGGGTAAATACAACGGTACAGACTAAATCCCATATTGGTTTGACCGGGATAATAAAAAAGATAAATAAATACATTAACTCAATCAATCAATCAATACAATGATTTGACTTGAATTAAACCAGTTAATTTATGTTACCACTTCTAGGTTACCATTTTTTTTTCGTGTACGGGTGAATCTCAGCAAACATGAACGATATTTCAGCCCAAAGCCAAAAGGAAAATTAGAAATTAGATTCTGCATGAAGAAAATGAAGGTTAAAATCATCAACATTTTACACTACAATATTAATTTTACAACTGTAATCCACAGCAGATGACTGGAATGTGAAAAAATTATTTATATTGCAAAAGTACATTTATAAATAAATAAATAAATAAATATATA